CAAACTTAGGTTGTTAACCCTCCAGAAGACAAGCTTATTGTTATTACCATACAACTTAGGCTGTTAAGCTTAACCTCACTATCTACTTTGACAGTTTATTATGTGATGCATAACAATGCTCTTCAAAAATGAAGGTACTATCCAAAATTCTGAATTCAGCACATCTTAACTTTGGTTATAAAAAAAACTTTGAATTCAATTTCAGTCATGAATTAACAGAATTAAACATTAAAGAAATGGAAAGTGCCTAGAACACAACCCTATTAGGTTCAGAATTTTTGTTCTGGTCTTAATTCTAACTAGTTTATCTCTCAAATCATAAATGAAGAAACCAAATATTAAAGAAATGAAATGGTGTCTCTAAGTTCATTATCCAAGATCACACAGAAGTCATTTTAACATTATTTTCTACAAGGACAGGAATGGAATGAAACACCAGGACTCTTTAGAAAAAGCCAATCAAACAAAAGAACAAACTCTTTCCTCATATCCTGGCCAGACATTAGCAATCTATTAGCATACTTAAACTTGACAAATAAGGATGTTAATCTAATGCTCTTTAAAAAAAATTGGTACAGGTTCTCATTATGCACCTTGGACTTGTAGTGATCCTCCTGTCTCAGTCTCCCCAGTGCTGCGATTATAGGCATGTGCCACCACACCCAGAATATGTGGTAGTGGGAATTGAATGTGGGTTCTTGTACTTTCCAGGAAAGAGCTTAGACTCTGGAGCTATCTCCCCAGCCCAATCTAATATTCTTTTGCTTTATTTACTTGTTTGTTTGTTTTTCAGACAGCATCTCAGTATGTAATTCAGGCTGTCCTTGAACTCATGGCAATCCTCCTGCTTCAGACTCTCAAATGCTGGGATTCTAACTGTGCACCACCATGCCCAGACTAGCGTTCTTTTGTGAAGCAACCTACAGGACTTATCAACACCAGTAGTGTTCTTGGAATAAGGTAGTAGGGCTGTTTGTTGAAGAACTGAAATACCTATTCAACTGCCAGACACCTGAACTCCCAGGAGGCAGGGCTGGTGTCCCTTCCAACACACCTGGCACTAAGGTCAGCATATGACATTCATGTTGTTCAGAGGCTGGATTAACAAAAGCTGGTCCTGGGCTGGGGAGATGGCTCAGTAGATAAGCACTTGCCTGGCAAGCACAGGGTCTGAGTTCAATCCCCAGGACCACAAAAAAAAAAAAAAAAAAAAAAAAAGTGCTGATCCTGCACTTAAAAGACCAACAAGAGAGGACCCTCCTCTCATGCTGAAAATCAACAGCAATAAAATATAAAAAGTAGCAAATAAACTTTTTGCTATTTCTTTTTCCTAACAAAATTTTCAAAGGTTTCCCTAGACTCATTTTTAAGCTGACAACTAAAATTTTATCATAAATTAAAAGATATATTTTTCTGATAATTTTAAATCTAAACACATAAAATATGTTATATGCTCATCCAAAAGTGTCTAGTGTTACATAAAAATTGGTATGATTTGATATCCACCATCATCCATTAGAAGTAAATAGGCCACGTTCTCAGGACCCCTCCAGACCCATCCCAAGCCCAGGCCCAGTGAGTGTGTGGGAGAGCTTCTGCACTCCCCTGTGCCTGCTGGACTTCTCCAGACCAAGCCCAGACCAGCCACATGAGTGAGACCTTCCACTGCAATCTTGGGACCCCTCCACCCCTCTGGAGCCAGCCCAAGCCCAGGCCTTGCGAGTGTGTGGGAGAGCTTCCACGCTCTCCTGTGCCTCCTGAACCCCACTAGACCCAGCCCAGGCCTGGCATACAGGCCTGAGGTGAAATTCTGCAGCTGAAGTCCCTGAGAAAAGACTAGGGGCCAGAACCACCCCCCTAACCCAGGAGCAGAACATCTTGCAGGAGGGGCACAACAGGTTCACTTCCAAGGGCTGAAGGCGAAGGAGCTGAGCACAGCAGCCAGACCCAAGCCAGGCACAGCTGGATGAATTCAAACTTCGTAGATCTGCACCCAAATTTCAGTAGGTGCTAAGGCTATAACTGCACCAAAGCTCTACACCAAAGGTCAGAGGACAATGCTATACAAAATGACAAAGGAGCAAAATGCAATCTCAGGCCCCAAGCCCATCCAGAAAAAGTGCAGAGGACACTAGCACAGAAGAAATTGGGAATCACACAGCTGAAATGTCTCAATCAATAGCATCTGAAGAAACAACTGCAGAAAGGTACAGAGGAACTCAGATCAGAAATAACCTCTGAAATAAAAAAAAATCTCTGAATTGATAGCATCTGAAGTAAATAATCAAATGTAGAAACATATAGAGGAAATCAGATCAGAAATAATCTCTGTAGTAAAAGAATTAATAACTCCTCAAGAAGACACTGAGAAAAAAATACAAGAGATTAGAAAAACAAGAGATTCCTTGAATAAGCAATACAGCAAAGAAATAGATTGCATGAAGCAGAGTCGAAGAGATATAGAGGAACTTAAAATCTCAATCACAAACTTGCAAAACCATTTGAGTGAAAGTAAAGATAGAGTTTCAGATCTTGAAGATGCCGCCGCAGCTAATGAAAAGGTAAGATCTCTTAGAAGTAAATAAGTTTTCCTTCACAATTAGAAATTTTATATATTTTCTCTCTTTGTTATTATATCCCTGTGTCAATTTTCTCTCCAAATCTCCTAATATCCTATAATCCCATGATGGTCTCTTATCGTCGTATCTCATGACCACTGATCTCTGACTATAAAAGAGATTCTCTTAGACTGTACAGTTATCACAAATGTCAATAACATGATCAAAAACAACACACAACATTAATTCATTAAGTATTAAAAGCAAAATCTGGTTAAGAATGACCTCAGGTACAGAAATTAAATAGTTCAAGGATAAAGCTGCAGATAGTGAGATTACTAACAGACTGGTATTTCTTTAACTCTTAGGAGAGTTAAAGAACTGAGCAGGGATATGGATTTTCCGAACCAGAAAATGGTAGAATGGTAAGTAACAACAACTTAGGCCCTCTGAGATTAGAATTCAAAACACTGGCAAATAACAACTTGGGGAAGAAATAAAGAGAGAAGTAGATTCTCAGGAACCAGGAAGGTTCAAGAGAAAAATCGAAACCTACAGAGAAATTGAGAAGAATAAACACAATACAGAGAAGGAAAGGGACAATCTGTACTTTCTACCAGTTCCTGGCTCATTGCTCATAGAAAAGAGACCAAATCTACAAAGACAATATGAAAGCAGGGAACTTCAGAGCATTTTCCATAGTCCAGCAGAAATGCACAGTACAATTGTCTAAAACATCCTGCTTAGATACATGGATAAATCTTTTTCTCCCACTCTCTCTCTGGTCCTTCTCATCAACTCAGTAACTCTTCTCCATTTGAGTAAGTTCATTCCCTTTTTCTAGTGTCTGTTGACGAGATACACATATGTAAACAACAACAACAACAACAAAACCCTCACAGCCACTGTTGGTGTGGAAATTGGTGTGGAGATTGTGCGAAACCTAGGATTGGACATCTCATTCAACTCAGCTATGCCCTACTATTTTTCCAAATGAACTGAAAACCTCATGCCACACTGTATGTGCACCCATGTTTATAGCAGCACAATTTGTCACAGCCGTATCTCGGAAACAACCCAAATGCCCATCAATTGAAGAATGGATAAAGATGTGGTATCTTTACACAATGGAGTATCATTCAGCTATAAAAAAGAATAAATTTGAGGCTTTTATAGGTAAGTGGATGCAACTAGAGAACATACTGTTTTTTTTTTTTTTTTTTTTTGGATGATAAATTTTTATTTCTACAAAAAAGGCAATCAAAACAATATAAAACACATTGAAAGGTATTACTGAGTGAGCTTCAGGTGAAGCTGGACTCTGCAAAGACTGAGTCCAAAAAGAAAAGGCCATCTTATTCCTGGGCTGGGCCACCGGCTGCACTGAAAAGAAGGGGCCAGCAGGCACCCAATGACCTCAGACTAATGTCAGATACAAAGCCGAGTCCATCCAGTTCCACTCCCACAGAGGGCCAAATTGTGCCAAGGGAGGGGTGTGGTGGTGTTGCTGTGATGAGAAATTCATCAACATCTCTCAAGCAGTGTCCTCAGCTGGCAAGCCCTCCCTC